AAAAAAAAAAAAAAAAAAAAAAAGAACTAAATATATAAGGCGAAATACGTTCACAACTGAAAAAACTCATTCTTGTTAATAGGTCACTGGGAGGTGGTGGACCATTTAGGAGGTAGGAATTGGCTAGAGGAAGGTATGGTCATGGGGTTGCAGCCTGCCCTTGTGGAGACTGTGGGGCTCAGTCCCTTCCTCTCCTGTCCTGCTCCTGGCCGTGCAATGAGCGGTGCCGTTCTGCACACTACTGCAGTGACGTCGCCTGGCCACGGGCTCCCAGCCATCAGTCACGGACTGGACAGTCCAAAACTGCAAGCCAAAATATATCTTTTCTTCTTTATAAGTCACGGTCTCAGGTATTTTGCTATAGTGATAGAAAGCTGGCTAACAGATGTCAATTTTGAAAATGGATCTCATCAAGTGCTGTTTGACTAGAACAGACAAAACGAGTTTGAACAGCAGTGAGTGGACGCACGCCACCTGACTCCCTGATGCACCGCGAGGCTACATTTAGCGGAGTCGGTGTGGCACTGGTACAGGAGCACAAAGATAAGTCAATGATGTGAGCAAGAAAGCATTCGGGAGGAAATCTGCATACGTATGAAAGATTGATTTCAATAGAGATGTGAAAGTAATTCGGTGGAGGAAGGAAAAGTACTAGAACAATGGAATTCCAGACATAAAACAACAAAAACCTTGATTCCAACTTCACATCGTACATGAAAATTAATTCATGGAAGCCTATCTCACATCAACTTACATAAAACCCATGGCCACATTAAATAGTGTTTCTTGGGTCTTGTAACAGAGAGAGCAGAGCATGTTAAATCAGATGATTTCATTGAGATTGCAAGGCACTTCAGAAATCCTTGTCAAGCCACCAAAGTGTCAGCACCCTTTCCTAAGGCCTAGCTTTCCATCATCCTCAAAATGTTTACTCTCTTTCTGTCCAACTTCTGTAAGATCCATATGAAATTCAAGCCCCTAGACCTGTTGGCTCGGGCCTACTTACATGAGTTAAATAACCAGTACTTGCAACAGGCAGGAAGCCAAGGAAAACAAATTCCACTTCAGATTTTATGCAGAAGAATTCTTTGCATAAAATATTTTCCATTTTAGGCAGAAGGTGGGAGGTGGGAGGAGGGGCCAATATGCAGGTGTGCTTGATGTTAATTAGCAGCACACTGCTTTTAATTCTACCTTTCCTTGCAATTAACCGTGCCTGGCACAGGGCCGTGGTTAGCATAAGAAAAATGAAAATATTACAGGAGCTGGCTCTATGCAAGGGTAAGCTTCATGTCTGAGAAACCTGGCCCTCCCTTGAAACAACTTGGCCCTAAGCCCTGCGTTGGGAAGGTATAGAATCTTGGAGAATTCCCAAGAATTTGGAACTCTACCCTCTGGGCTGTTTCCAACAGGGCTAGGGAAGTGGAGGCTTAGACCCAGTTTCTTGATCTTTCCCCGACTCCTTATTAAGCAAACAGTGACTTCTCACAGGCCTACATCCCTGCACGTCAGAGCCTACCATCAGGTTGATGGGAAAGAGAGTGTTTGTGTGGAAAAGTCAGTCTTTATTGGAACTTCTTATATTAAGAAGAGGCTTAATGACATTGCTGTTCATGCATGCATCAACTTTTTTTCCTTTAAATAATGTTTTGCTTCATCATTTGAGGCAAGAGGGGACAGATAGAGATGAAAACTTGCAACATGAAAATGCCCTGCTCATTACTGGTCATGTGTAGAAGATGATTATCATGTGGCCCAGCCCAAGGTCCTGGTGTCCTGGTGGTGGGGTGGGTGGGTGTGTGTGTGTGTGTGTGTGTGTGTGTGTGTGGGTGTGTGGGTGTGTGTGTGTCTGGTGCTATAGTTTGGATCTGAAATGTCCTCTGATGGCATGGACATTGATGGGCCATGGCAGTATTGCAGGTAGTGGCATCTTTAGGAGACTGGGCCTAGTGGCAGGACGTCGGTCACCAGGACATGTCTTTGAAAGGACCTCAGCCCCTCTTCCTGTGTTTTTTGTGCCATAAGGTAAGCAGTCTCCTCTGTCACATGCTTCCTCCATGACATGCTGCCTCATTGCAGGCCCGATGACCAAGGCTAGCCAGTTGTGGATGAAAGCCTTGGAGATGACAAGGCAGCAGAAACCTTTCCTCTTGTTAAATTGACTTATTTCAGTCACTTGTTCCAGTCTGCAAAAGCCAACTGACACTCAGGCTAGGTCTGGTAGGTTGTGGCTATTGGCCTTGGGCAGGAAGGGGACAATGAGACAGTGAGTCAGAGGAGGCTTTGGGAAGCATGTACTTAGCTAGGAGTTTTTATTATTACTGGTGAGAGAACTTGGCCCCATTTATAGAAAGGGAGAGAGGGATGAGGCACCAGTGGCTCATGCCATTCCTCTGTGGTTGGCAAGGCTGAAACTGGCCTCGGACGATGAAATAAGATTCTCCCTCCACCTCCCTTCTGTGCCTCCTCTGCCTGTCAGCATAAGTAGCTTCAAACTACAGACTCTGTGCATTTCAGGAGTATATAAGCTTCAGGGGCAAGGAGCAAGATGCCCAGAAGACCTGATCACCCCATGTTGGCCCAAAGAAGGATGTGTTGTGAGGCCTGGCTGAGGCCACAGACCCACTGCTGCTGGGGTGTGGGGGCAGGTGGTCTAGGACTGGCAGTCCCCTCGTATCACATGGGTAGTGTTAGGGAACTGATCATGTTAAAGTATGCTGTGACGCCGCCAGCACAGGTTGCATTCTCCTGGTGCTTCTTGGCTCCTGAAATGACCTCATGCCCTTATCTTTAGTTTCCCTCCCACCGAAGCCACAGCGAGACAGAGAAGTTGAAACCTGTTTCTGCAGGGCTGATCCCATGAAAGACAACCTGGCCTGTGATAGGTTAAAAGTAGCCCACTCCTCATGAATAAGCAATAGCCCAGCCCAAAACCAATAAAAGGACCTTCCCTTCTTTATTCTCTTCTTCTTCTTCTGCCCCTTCTCCCTCTCTGCTCCCGCTCCCTGAATAAAGTCTCCTGTCAGACCTCTCAGTGTGTGCGGGGCCTAGCTGTTGAGCATCACAATTCCCTTACAGGTAGTGGAACAGGTGCTTCCCCTGGAGAGGGCCTTGGAGAGCAGTCAAGACCAGCCTTGTTTTCCTGGTGGTTGTGGGAGGGGAGGAGAGCTGGGCCCACACAGGCTGGAAGGGGCAGCAGGTTCAAAGCACCAACACTGATTTCTGGGCGCTAAAATTGATCCTACACAGCCTCAATGTTCCCACAGGATTATGGGTGTGCTTCGGGTACCTCCAGCAACCCACAGGCAGGGTGCATCCTCTGTCTGACTTCTGGGGCCCCACTCCAGGCCTGGCCTCTACTAATGATCCCCCTAGTTTTGGATGTTTCTTTCCTTATAGTTTTTGGTTCTTAGCGTTGCTTTTTGATGAAAATGTAAACACTCACCCTGTGCAGAGAGGCCACTGGCCCCCGGCTCCAAGCACAGCATACAGGTTTTCTCTTCCGACAGCTCAGCCCAGACTGCGGTCTCCTTTGGGGCCTGGACATAGTGTCCAGGGTGAAGGAGGTGCTCACTTAAGGCAGCCCATTTTCTGCTGCGGATGACACTTCCTGGCTGCTCTGACCTCCTGTGGCGGTCCAGCCATGACAACATGAAACAGCCCGAGTTGGGGTGTGAGGACTGAGAAAGGAAAGAACACTCAAGCCTGAGCGGAGACCAAGAGAAGTCGGCTTTACTTTACAGAAACAGCCCTTTTTAAAGGCCCACCAATAGGAAGCAGCAAGCAATTATCTTTATTCGGATTTCCTGACTCCTACACCTGAGTTCCTCCCATCGCAGGGTCAAAGAACAAACAAGCTTAACAAGCAGAGTCCTTGAAAAGGAACAAATGTTAACAAATGTTAATCAGGAACATCCTGACCACACATTGTGTCAATGCCTTAATTGTAGAGGAAGAAGTTATCTTTCAAATGTCCAATGCCAGTGGGCCATGAGTGGCCCCCACAACCTCCAGGCGATCTCCAGGACAGGGGACCCAGGATCAGCCGCACAGCTGTGCCTCACAGACACTGGGAAGTGGGTGCCCCCAGGCCACCCTGACCCGTGATCTGCCCTGGCCTCGAGAGTGCTGCCCTATGCGGGTGACCTGCCATTGTCTCCTCTTTCTTTGGGGGCCCTCCCCTCTCCCCCTCCTGCCAGCCAAGTGACCATCTCAGGAACTCTGGTTCGTATCAGCATTGGTTCACACAGGGTACTGTAACGAAGACTCAGACCGGAGCCTGAGCAGCAGACACTTCTCCCCACAGTTTGAAGGAAGCAGTCCCAGGCCAAGGAGTGAGCAGCGAGGCTCCTTCTGAGGCCGCCGTCCCCGGTGTGCAGGTGCCACCTTCTGTGCGCTGTGTCTCCGTCTCCTCTTCTGACGAGGACCTGGCCACACTGGAGTAGGGCCACGCTAGTGAGCTCGTTGCCTCTTCAAAGGGCCCATCTGCAGATGCAGGCACATTTGGAGGTGCCGGGGGTTAGGGCTCCAGTGTCTGGATGTAAAGAGGGTGTGCAGTTTTGCCTGTGGCACTCCCTGTGTGGAAGGGCCACTGTGGCCTGGCTGATGGCCATCTGCCCAGTGGCTAGAGACAAGCACCACCTGTGAGTCAGTGAGGGTCGGAGCTCTTCCCCAAGCTGAAGGCCCTTCTCCATTCTCTCCCACTTTCTGACTCAGCCTAATGGCAGCCCATGCTTCTCACTGGTGCATCCTCAAGTTCTTTTCTGAAAAAAAAAAATCCTTTTCAAGAACCTGTCTGGGCCAAAGTAAGGTCCTCATTCCTTCTCCTCCGTGGACCCTTGCTGAGGATTTGGCTTGGTGGCAGTGTCCTGGGCTCCTGGGTGTGGACGTGCTGCCACCTCTGCTCCCTGTCTCCACAGTAAGGGCCACCGAGCAGGAGCGGGTAGGTGTGAGAGCTCCTGTTCCACCCCTGGCTGAATACAAATGCACACACTCACCCTTTGCTCCAGTCCTTGGTCGCAGGCCAGGGGAACACCATGCTGCGCTATGAGTGAAGCTGGTTTTCTCCTCCGTCACCCTGCTGTCCCAGGCAATCCAGCCCATAGCAGGTGCTTAGGGTGCAATTCAAGGGCAGGGCTGTCTGAGCCTCTCCTTGCAGGGCTGACAACCTTCCAGACGGGTTCCAGGCAGTGTCTTTGTGGAAGTAGAGGGGGAAGAGACCCTGACTGAGAGTCCCCCTGACACATAAAGGAAGGGACATCAAGAATGGGATGAGATCACAATTATGGCTCTCCCATCAGCCAGTTGTGCATCTAGATAATTCACTTAGCCCTTCTCAGTCTGTGTCTGGTGTGTGAGGAGCAGGCGTGACGGGGACTCACCATCATGGTGCCAGGGTTGAAGGTGGTGCTGCAGACAAGTCCCCACTGGGCCTCAGCTGCTGCCCCTCATGCAGCAAGGTGCTGGGGAACACTGAGCTGCTGTCAGATACTCCCCAGGTGCCAGATGAGGCGAGGGGCTGGCTCATTCCAAGCAGAGCTCTTTAGCATGATTAAATTTCACCTTGTTAGATTGTCTTTGCCTGCCATGAGCTTTGGGGATTTTGATTTATTAATCTAATGTATTTATTTCCCCTCATCCACAAATTTAACAAGTTGTCTAGTTCTTCAACAATTACAAGTGAGGTGTTGGCTGGGTTGTGGATAATGCCCAGTGCGCCCTCCGTGGTCAGCCTTCCCTCACTGGAGTCGGCAGCTAGTTGTAAATTCTAAGGACTTTTACAGATTCTCATTTAGAAAGAAGATCTCAAATTATGTGCTACCAATATCAACCACAATTTCCATCAATCAGGAAAGAACACGGGCCCCAGCTGTGCTCCTGTTATGGCTGCATCTAGATGTCCCCCAAAGCCTCGTGCAGTCACAGATGGGGCCTTTTCAGAGGTGGCTGGATCTAGAGTGTGTGATTCTGGGATTGATTCATGGTGCAATGCAAGGCTCAAGGGCAGTAGGATTAAGGGTGTGAGTGCCGCCTGCCCTAAGTAGCCGGGATAAGATAGAAGGGACAGGAAGAACTGCAGTCATCCCTTGTTGCTTTGTTACCTTCTGTCTGCCATGAACTATTTCTCCTCTGCCCTGCCACCCTGCCTTATAGCCAATGAATTATGGACTGAAACCTCTCAAATGGAACTAAGTAAACCTTTCCTCCTTTAACTTTGGGTGTTGGGTATTTTGTCTTAGCAATGAAACATGTAACTAAGACAGCTCCCATCCTGACAGGTACACAGTCATGGTCATTAAGGGATCAGATGGCCATCGAGGAGTGACCTGTGACTGTCCTCTAGGAAAAGAAGACTTTGGAAAGGATCTGAGAGAGGATGAGGCAGCCCAGAGAGTGGACAGTGGGCAAAGATTGCAGATGGGGAGGGAGGTGCTTTGTTCCAGTCAGAGGTCTGTCTGACCGTGAAAACGAGAGGGTGGAGGGATCTCAAAACCACCAGTAAGGTCACGTGAATGTTTATTACATAGAAAACGGGGAAAGAAAGAAAAGATTTCCAGAGATAAAAAACCCACAGACTTGGAATGTTAAAGAGATGCATGCTTTATGTGTTTATAAGGGGAACGGGTGTGTATATATAAATATATACATGGAGATATGTACATGGGTTTTCTTTCTCATGACAGATGTGATGCTGCTGCTTGAGTAAAGGAATGTGAAGCTGGCAGGAGGCTGGAGAAACAGGAAGCCTGCTCGGGTCCTTGGGGCACGTGGAGACTCCTGAGCCATGTCCCGCTCATCCAGGCCTGAGGATGCCCGCCCCACTGTGCTGTGGCAGGCCCAGGCCCTGGCAGCAAGGTTTGGAACATCTGGAAGCTTCCTCAGGTCTCCAGCAGTATACATTTGTCTTTGGAATGGCCTGGAACGACCCTCTGGAGTAGCTCGGAGGCTCTGCATGGAACTGGGTTGAAGGAAGAGCCCGGGAGGCCACAGTGAGTATTGTCCAAGAACGATGGAGACTGACGGCAGCTAACTAAGCAGAAAGAGGAGACCCCACAGACCCAGCACAGCACCAGTCACTGCGGGTCACAGTGCAACACGGTCACGTGAGGATCCGCAGATACAAGAGCCCATTGTCTTGTTTTCACGCAGATTCTTTAAAACGGTGCCATGCACAGTGCCATGGGACTTCACTCATGGAAAGGGCCAGTCCTGGGTTCCCACAGGTGCTGTCACCCCTTCTCCTCTTCTGTTGCTGGGGCAAGGGGCAGCTCCCACAGACAGAATGAGGTCTCCGAAGAGAAGATTGTTGCAGCCCCCAGGGGACACCAGGAAAAGAATGCTGTCCCCTCATCTCCCTGCAGGCCCATTTCGTCCCCTCCCATAGAAGCCCACACGGAGGGACCTGGGCAATGAGGATAACCAGGACGGGCGAGGTGGGGGCACCAAACCCGGGGCTCCCAGGAGGAAGAGGTCCACTGGCCAGGGGCCCAGAGAGGAGGAAAATGTGTGTGTCTGGCTGGGGAGTAAAGGGCCCCCCTGAAGAGGAGGCATGGGCTGCTGGGAGAAGTGTCCAATGCCGAGTCTCCAGGTGGAGCTGTCCCGTTCGCTCAGTAGTCAGGGGGCTGTGTGTGTGTGTGTGCACATACGCGCACCTCTGCCCACTTAGGTACAACTGTGGCAGTCACTGGGGAGCCCAGATTAGCCTGGGTGGTTGGCATTTTGGTAAATCCAGGAAGGGAAAGCTGGGGATTTAACTCAGTGGTGCTGCCGCCTGCCTCACAAGCTCAAGGACCTGAGTTCGATCCCAGGTACAAAAAAGAAAATCAAGAAAGGGAGATGAGATGGAGAACTGAGGTCCCATTGCTAATCCAAATGCAAAGACTTCAGGACGTGCACCAGGCTCAGGACACACGCAAACTGGATTTTCCACCCTCGGACAGCATCAGGAGCAGACTGGGATGTTAGAGGCCCTGGGCTGCACGTTTCCAGACCTTCAAGGCATGAGGCAGCCCTGTGCAAGGGAAGACAGTGTGCTAGACACTGCACCTCCAACCTCTAGCTGGAGAGTTTACACTCACATCTGCATCTCCCACGTTATCCGTCACATTATCCAACATTCCCAGCTTTCTGGGCCAATAGCACTAACATAAAAAGCGATGAGAGCCAGTGGGGCCTGCGATGGCCTAGGAGCCAGCAGGGGCTTGAGGAGGCCCGAATGCCCCGCAGGCAGTGGCCTGCATGGCAGGAACCCTTGAGCTGGGGAAGCGGGACTTGTTCTTTGGGTTAGGAGTCCTTCCCTTTTTGAGTGCAACCAGGGCTTACCCAGGGTAGGGCCAGCAGTGTGTCAGGCTGAGGCAGCACAGCAAGCCCAGGGGTACCACCTGCCCCTGCTGCTCCTACACCCGGCCATCCCAACCTGAGGTGCTCAACAGCCTCCAGGACACCCCAGCTGCCAGGGGCTTCAGCCTTAATGTCAGGTCCCACTCTGGCCACAGTGTCCCTGTTAGGCCCAGAAGTGTCTCACTCACTGTGGCTCCCAAAGCCAGGCCAAACCTGCCACACACCGACCCACGGGAGGCTGGGAGGGGAAGGTGCCCTGCCCCTTCTTGCACTGTCACCTTGTGCTGGCCATGAGCAAAAGAGGCAGGGCCCCCCTCTGTCACCAGGGCCGCACGCCAGCCAAGCACCTGCCGCTGGCCTGCTCTTCAGTTGGATGCTGTTTCACGTATGAACTGGGCCTTCTGATGGTCCAGGTGGCCGTTGTTGCCCCCTTCTACCAAGGACAATGCAGAGACTACAGTGCATCTCAGTGGGCTGATATTCTGAGCTGGCCACATCCACAGCCACCATCCCAGACCCACGGCTCAACAGCAGGCTCGGGATGGGGCCTCCTGGCTCCCTGGAGAGGGCCCCCCCTTGAGTTTGCGTGCAGCCCTCTGGTGGTGGTGGGGAGGCGGCCTCCTAAGCACACACACCCTGTATTAAGCCATCCCACATGGGGACACATGGTGACACCTGCCACTCCAGAAAATCCCACCCGTGTCTGGATTGTGTCACTAAACATGCGACATACATTGCTGTCTCTTCTCTACTCCCTCAGCAGCCACCTCCAGCCCAGCCAGGAGAATAAGATCTGCCTCTCTCTGAGGGGGCAGCCCCTTCAGAGACTTGTCATTCAGAGTTGGGGGGCAGGTGTGGGCAGAGGCTGAAGAGGGGGCGGCTGGAGCCAGTTCATGTGATTCTCTGTGGCTGCGCCCTCTGACTTGGCTTCCTTGAGAGCAGCCTTGCCTGCCAAAGATGTGTACACGGCCAAAGGCTCAGGTTCTCAGGGTGGAGCCAAATCTGAGCTCAGGCCTCGAGACACTGAGCGTCCTGAAGCCTGGCCGGGTGGGGGTCATGAAGAAGGGGGCAGGGAGAGGTTGTGACACTGATCAGGGTCAGAATGTACAGCCCACCCAGGCTGCGAAGAAGGGAGGACCAACAAGGAAGACCAGAGGGTCAGAAAACTCGGGCTGGGGGGTGGGAGCGTATCAAGGGGTATGGGGGGGGCAAGCAGCTTGCCCCAGTCAGGGCTAGAGTGAGCCAGAGGCTGGAAGGGATTCTCCAGAGGCCAGGAATCTGTCCAGTTTGCATTCCCTGGCAGGACCGTGATTGTCATGCCCAGTGCAGGGCAGGTCGGCTGGACCCCCAAGGGAGGTGCTTCTCACTTTCCCCCGTCTAGCCACGGAGAAGACAGCCAGATCCCTCTGCTGGCTGAGGCTTGACAGACAAGAGGTGCCCCTGTGGAGGGTCACGCCCGACGGTCAGCGCCTTCTTCATGAGAAGAGTGACGAGAAGGAGTCGTGGACATTCATCTGGTCACTGTAACTGGGGATCCCCCTTCTCGTCCCTGCAGATCGGTGTCTGACCACAGTAACGGGTACACCTTCTGTTGGCTTCTACCTCTGCCGGGGACCTAACTTTGCAACAACTGCTTTCAGAGGACCTCTAAAAGGGCCTGGTCGTCCCTGGCACCTGGAGGACCCCATACAGCACCAGCAATCTCCCCTCCAATGATCCCATTTGGAGGTAGGATTTTCAGATTGCAGTTCTGGAGCCACAGAAGCCATCCAATGGCCACTCTTCCCATGACTTATTTAGTGGAGAGATCGGACCTGAACAAATGAGGTTATTTACAGTTCTCATTGATCCCAGTGGACTGGACTCTTCACATGTTTCCCGGCAGGAGTGTTCACATGCTTGCCAGCATGCAGGGTGGCCCAGACTGCTAGGAGGCTGTCAGGAAACGTGTGGGAAATGGACCGTGTCATCTTTCTCAGATCTGAAAGTTCTGCATTCAGAGACTCATGTGGCTCCAAGGATTTCAGAAAAAGGCATAAGTACCAGAAGGCACACTGAGCCCTCTGAAGAAGGTTGCCCACTGTGCCCACTCACACCTCAGTCTACACCTGAACAGCTGGCAGTTCTGGCTGTTCTGCCCAAGGGGTGGAGTCGCTGCCCAGAGAAACACAGTCAAGACCTATCCAGCTGCCACAGCCAGGCTCACCCTGGGCCAGCTGAGCACGAGGCCCTCTCCTCAATGGGCAGGCATCTGGCCACCCTCACTCCCACCCTGCACTGCCCTGGAAGACCGCAGAGTAAACTCTAGGGATAACAGGGCTTTGAAGCCAGGCTGGGGACTGAGGAAGTGCTCTGTCACCCTCACGTGGCCTATAGAGGCCCTGCCCAGTAGTTCTGGGTGCCTTGCAGTGGTCAGTGAGCTTTGCCAGGAAAGATGAGCCCACATAGTACCCCAGCCTGTCTCTATGCCAACACTCCCGTCTCCCCCTGGCTCCCTGACACTGGGTGCCTACACTGCTTTCCAGAGCAGGAGGGAAAGCCGGCAGCCCCTCAGTCTGCTAGGCAAAGCAGATGTGATTTCAAAATAAATAATGTATTTTTAAATATAATCCCCTTCCACCCCAAATCCAGGAAATAGCAGAAGAGAGCATGTAAAGGTCCTTGGGCCCAGAGCTGCCTGGCAAAGCCTTCACGGGGCTGCTCTGGGCTTCCCCGGCAGGTCCCATGGGCTCACAGTTGCTGTGGGATGCCCTGCTCCTTGTACCCTGTGAGGAAGAGGAAGAAGAGAGATGGTCAGACACTTGCTTCTTTAAGATTTCTCTGGGAGGCGCCCCCAGCCAGAATGTGCTCTAGACTTTACTCATATTCCAGTATACGTGACATACCAGGCACAACTTTTCCTAAGGCCTTTGACTTTTTAATGGGAAATAAAGCTCGTGAATCAAGAATGGTGGACTTTTGGATTTACTGGGAATATGAGAGGTATTTAGGGTGGAGCCTGGAATGCTATTGACCTGCTCTTGGAAGCAGATTCATTCCTCACACCAGCCTGGTATGATACTGGAATGCAGAGCTTGGGGAGAAAGTTCAGGTGAGTGTCCCCACCTGATGGGCATGGACACAGGTTGGGGGAAAGGAGGAAGGAAGGCAGCAGAGAGCACACAAAAGGAAGCAGCTGGCTGCAAGGCTGGGACAAGGAGAGGGGCGGGAGCATCTGAGTCTTGAAAATATTGCAGATAATCACGAGACTTTCCAAGCTTTTTAAAATTATTATTTTGTGACGCCAGAGATCAAACCTCGGGCCTCAAGTGTGCTAAGTAACTGCTGTACCACCGTGTGACGTCTAGGAAGTCTTAAATGCAGCTGATATGAAGGACTTTCTGCTAACATATTTGAGTGAATCACATGGCTGAGATTACAGGAGTGGACTCTGCAGACCATCGTCCCCATCACCCAGCTAACTTAGCCAGAAAACGAGCTTCCCAGACCTGACGGGCTTTTCCTCTTTGTGTGGCAGATCACTCAGCAGGCATGGGCGCTGATAACCCAGCTCACGGGTAGGGAGCCGAGGGGAATCAGTGAAACAAGAGTGGCCGTGAGCGGGGAACTGGCGTGGACACTCGGGGATTCCTTATGCCCAGCACTCTCCCTCCATCCCTTTAAACACTTTCCAAAACAAAAAGCTAAAAATACAAGCCTGCCGATCAACTGAAGGCAGGGTGAGGATGAGCCTGGAGGCGGGGGAGGTCACAGGGCTGTCACCAGATTGTCCCCAGACTCACCTTGGGAAACTGCAGCAATACAGGGATGTGAGGCAGCAGGGTGAGGAGCAGAGGGAAAGAGAAAACAGTTTGAAAACAGAAGCCACACCCACCTGGCGGCTCACCTCCCACCCGCCGCTTTCCACCCTCTGCCTTGAGATGCATTCTGCACGGATCTGTGGAGGGGCTGGATGAAGCAGCCTGCCCGGTCCCAGCCTGCACTGCCTGGGCTGTGGGGCTACAGCAGCCACATAGAAAGCCTAATCCTTCTGATGGCAAACATTCTCGCAGATGCCGTGGATCAACTGGATGTGACTGCTGAAGGCCGGCGCTGAGGAAAAGCAGGAGGGCCCCATGGAGATGGTCCTGACTGATCCTCAGTGTCTGCCGTGGGTATGGCAGCAGGAAGAGCCCACTGTAGACCTGCCGAGTATTTATTCAGACCCAACCAGGACAGGCCGTCGCTGGTCATTTGTTATTACCGATATAACTAGAGCAGCACACTTTTAAGTTCTTGGCTTTAACTTGAGCTTCCTTCTTTATTTCTCTGGTTCCCCTCTTAGGAGTTTTCTTGATGCTGTACTTTCTGGAGACATCCTGGAGATTCCATATGAAAGATCACCCTGTATTGTTACGACTGAAAAGTTTCCTTTTATAGGGAGGGTCTGAGGGAGCCAGAAAGAATAGCCCCTAGCCAGCTGTCTACTAGGACAAGAGTAAACTGTGGTTATGCCCTCCACAGGCCACCTCAAACACATACTCCATCATCCCCCAGGGGCAAGCATTGACTCTGTGGGTATGGGGGAAAATGAGTCTGCTCAGACCAGAAGGTGAGTAAAAGTAGGCTCAGGCTGCTTTTCTTCTGTCACTCCCCAGAAATCACTCTCAAAGTTTCGACACAAAGACAGCATGTGCAGGACCACTGTACACACCCCCAAGGAGCCGACAGACCCCAGAAGAGACTTGGGCTGGGCCGGGAGTGGCCAGGCTGGGGCCGGAGGATCTTGTAGTGCATATCTGAGGCCCTTAAGGCCCACACACCGCCAAGGAGTGACTTCCCAGCCAGGTCAGTGGCCTGGATGATGAAAGGTGAGGGGTGACTGAAGTCCCTATTCTCAGGGTCTCGCTGCCTCATCCAGGGCTGAGGAGGGGACTCTTCAAGTTATTACGAAGGTCTAGACCTCCTGGTTCCTGGGGACTGAGGGTAACCAAAGACCAGCATAGATGGTCATGGGCCCCTATTTATGATGGTTTGACTTGTATTTTGGGCTAACAGTGGGTTTAGTGAAGTATCAGATGCATCTTTGACAACATAGTTCCCACTGGTGATGGTTCCTTGGGACACAATTCCACAGTAAGCTGAGGAGATCGGGTACCAGAAAGGTCTGGGGGTCTACTCAGCATCCACTGAAACTGTGCTGTGGCCCAGGCCTACTCCAGTTCCCCAAAGAGCTTCCTTACACCCGTGATTTGGACCCTGAATGTCCCTGAAGGTCCATGGGTCGTAGACTTGGGAAGTGGGGGCCTGGTGGAGCTCATCACAGTTACCGGAGATGTGCCCTTGAAGGGGACTATGGAGCCCTAGTGTCTTCCTCTCTCTCCTTTCCCTCCCAGCCTGGGTTAAGTGGCTTCTTGTTCTGCCATGTGTACTCTCCATGGTGTCCTTCCTCACCACAGGCCCAAGCAACAAGGCCAGATGATCGTGGACTGAACTCTCCAAAACTGTGAGCAAAAATAAACCTTTCTGCTTTATAAGTTGACCTCAGCATTTGTTACAGCACTGGAAAGTTAACACACTATAAAATCCCACTACCCGGCCAGAACCTTAGTTTGATGAACAGATAAGCCAGTCAGAGAAACACATGGGATCCAAAGACAGGGCCTTCTAAGGGCAAATGTGCTGTCACCATCTGATTGGGAGCAGAGTCGGGGCTGCAGACTGTCCCACAGGCCCCTAGGAAGTGCTGTAATTCCCTCTGGAAAATCATCGAGTTGCTTTCCTACCAGCAGTGCTCTATACTCCTCTCCAAATTGGAATGGCCCCTGAGCACAGGCGAGTTAACACAGGGGGACTTGAGAGCCTGCCTTGGTCTCTGCCTGCTCTGCCAGGTAGATGTCCTAATCCCCTCTCTGAGGGGCAGCCCCAGTCCCAGGACAGCCTTCCCTGAAAGAAAGGAGTTTCTCGGAAAAAATGGAAATAAAGTGCTTGTAAATGGGGAGGGGAGGAGGGGGTGAAGGGAGGGCAGGGACAAGGTGAAAAAATGAGAATCAAGACCTATTATGTAAAGGTACAGAATCCCAATGATGAATGTAACTGTATTGTCTACCTAGATTGTACCAATAAACTCAATAGAAAAGAAAAAAAAAAAAAGGAGTTTCTTCACTGCCTCTTCCACTCCTGGCTTCCTCTGGCTACACGACATCTGCCTGGGTGGCTCTAACTCCGGGCCTCCATTTTCCCCTAACCTCCGCTCCAGTCCCACCTGTCTGCCAGCACTGCTGGCTTTCCCTCAGGCTCTGCATCTTCTTCATTTCTGCCCCAACTTATGTGTGCCCACTGAAAACTCCACTGCAGTCTAGATCATTCTAGAGCCCCGGAACCCTCCTGTCTCTACTGCCTTTACCTGTCATGGCCTTCCTCGGGCACTGGCAATCCTCCAGTAAGAGTCTGCTGGCTGTAAGACCCAGTGGGGAGTGTGGATGGGGTGGGGTGGAGAGAAGGGCAGAGGGCCTGAGTTGTGGCCCGGCTGTCACCTGTACAGCCCAACAGACAGCCCGACGGGGTGAGAACTGCGCAGTGTACAGGAAGACCTGTCTGTGTTGCTTAAAACAGCTGGCATCTGATTCCAGACTTTGCTCAGTTATTTAAAAATGATAATCAAGCCATTAGTAAACCTGATTTTGCAACTTTATGCCTTCTACAGAACAGTTTTGCATCTGAATTAAGTTTGAATTAAAAGACAATGAAGAGGACAACCCACTTTCCAGACGCCCTTCTGTCTCTCTTAGAAGCTTTCTTTCTCTCAATAAATTTTTCCTACTCTTAACTTCCATTGCTTGTAGAATTCATTCTTTGATTTTAAGGAACACAAACTCACGTTTTAGATACCTACTAGGTTTGGGAGTTACATCGCTTCCCCTATATCATTTTGAAGTCTTCTACCGAGAGTACTGGTTGAAGGAACTAAAAAGCTGTGGTTTAAATCTCCTGGTGGCATCTGCTGTCTACCATGGACTGTTGCCCCTCTGCCACCTGATTGTGGACTAACCCTCTAGGAACTGCAAGCCAAACAGACCTTTCCCCCCTTTACCTTTGGATGTCAGATATTTGTCTCAGCAATGAGAGGAAAGTAACCAAGACAAAATTTGGTACCAGAGAATGGGGTTGTTGCTATGACATTATGTGACCATATAGCTGAAGAGCGTTGGATCTGGCTTGTGGGCAGGGGATGGGCAAAGGTTCGGAGATGTTGGCCGAAGAAGCAGAGCTGGAACTCCTAAGGCTGCTCTGAATGGGAGATTCTGGTCAGAGCTCAGCAGACCAGAGAGCTGGAAAAGGCCAGGCCCAGGAGGTTCCTGCTGGGAAGAAGGACTGCCCTGGCTGCTGGACTCAAAACAGTGTGTGTTATGCCTTGGCAGAAAGTTTGTCTGCATTTTGCCCAAGTCCAGAGACTTTGCCTGAGGCTGAGATTAAGGGCAGTGAACTAATTAATCTCAAAGAAGACATTTCAAGGCAATCTAATGGTGAGGGCTACTGTTGGGAGCTTTTAGCCAGATCTATGTTGAGAATCAAGAGCAAAGAGCCCAGCAGAATTATTTAAAACATTTTGAGTTTGGCCAGAAAGGCAGCTCCAGTAAAGCTGTGGATCTTGATTACTGAGAAGAAACAGAATAGAAAAGATGGCCTGAGGGCATCATAAGAAGCAGCAGGACTCTACCCTTTGTAACTTCAAAATTGCAAAAGTGAAAGACTTTCCATTGAGAAGAAAGCCCTGGAACACCATGTTACAGAACGACAGCAGCCTAGGGAAGTTGTTGCAGAATGATGGCTTAGGGAAGTTTTTCCTGGTACTTTGGTTCATAGGCACCGGACCCCTACAGCCCAGAGAGAAGGAAGCCTGGCTACTGCTCCAGGCGGGCGGCAGACCTTGGTGTCATCCACGGGGCGCTGGTTTCAGGCACATGCAGTATGCGAGAGTTGTAGGGCCAGGAAGGCTTCCACCCAGATTTCAGAAAGCGTGGGAGGCCGGGCAGTGCCCGTGAGAGGGCCGTGCGTGAAGCTAAAGGTACAGTGGAAACCCCAGAAGCTTAGAGAAGGCAGCAGCATGGATCATCCGAGGAAAGCTGCAAGCAGGGAGCAGAACTGGCCCAAGAGAGAAGCCATGGGAGCTGCAACCATCTGCAGAGCCACCCAAGCCCTTTGGAGTTTATAACGGGCCACCGATGGCCCTGGATGATGAACATGGAGCTGTGGGATTCACTACTGGACTTTGGTCTTGCTCTGGCCCCATTCCTTACCTCCCCCTGTCTGGAGTGGAAATGGTCACCTTGTGCCACTGAACGTTGGAAGTGTTTAACCTCGTCTTCATTTCTACAGGGACTTGCAGCTAAAAGTTTACCTTAAGTCTCAGAGAAGACTTTAGTCTTGGACGTTTCAGCCATGCTGAAACTGTTAGGATTTTGGCAACTCTTGGAGATGAACTAAATGTCTTTTGCGTAAAGGGATATGCATGAGTCTTTGGAGGGCCAGGGTTGGAATGTTATGACTTGTGTTTAGATGTCCTGTCAAAGCCTCGGGCAAATAAGGTGGGACTGTCTTTTTCACAGGTGGCTGAATCTGGAATGTGTAACACTGGGATTAAGGGCCCATGATTACTAAACCACTACACCGAGTGACTGCTTTGGCACCACCCAAATCCCAGTAGTCTGGATTGGATAAAAGGGTGAGAAAGACTGTTAAGATCTCTTGTTGCTTTGCTGTCTTCTGCCACCACGAGCTGCTGTCCCTCTGCAATTCTGCCTGGGAGCCAACTGATTATGGACTGCAACTTCACGAAATGTAAGTCAAATAAACCTTTCCCCCTTTAAAAAAATAAAATAAAATAAATCTCTTGGTTTGCTAACAATAAAAAAAAAAAAAAAAAGACAATGAAGATCCACTCAAAACAAATGAGGACTAGTAAGGCTTTAGCACTAAGGAGTAAAGAGCTCAGTGTAACCAGAGGGGAATTACACAGCTCTAGCCATAAAAGCTCAGCTCCAGGTTTCCAGTGTGCAAATCTGCCATGTGGCCTTGTCTTTTCTGGAAACTGCAGGCTGGGGACACCATAGTGGGCTAGGGGCTGTGCTCACACAGGCTGCCCCAGGGCTACTGGGCTTGGAGCCCGGGCTGTTTCCTTGACATGGTGACTATGTGTCTTGGCTGGACAGGGGCCCTGCCTCTCTCAGGCCTGTGTCTGCCATGCACTCAAAACTCCCTGCAGCATCCGGGTCGGGTATGGAGAGGAGGACCCTGGTGAGTCCTCAGGGAGCCACGAAGGCCTCCGCCTCCACCCTTGCACCCAGCCGGGCCTTGGCCCACCGAGAGGGGCAGCGTTGACAGGTACTCACTGGCAAGGATGACCATGTCCATGCCCCAGAAGATGCTCATGATCCAGCCCACCATGACGATGGCCGTGAGGATCTGGATGAGGGCTGCAGCGATGTTCAGCCAGAAGACACAGCACACGTGCCTGTCAGGAAGGTCCGTGCGAGCCCCACACAGCACAGTGAAGGCCGAGACGAAGGTCCCTGTGAGAGACCAGGCTGTCAGCCTCAGAGAGCACAGAGACAAAGGCGAACAAAAGCACCCTGCAGGCCACCCCCCAAGAGCTTGAAGAGCAGCAATGCCAACACCCTGCCCTCAGAGCAGCCGTCATGGCTCAGATGTCAACCTGCGTCTTGTCATCCCCACACTGGGGAGGGCAGGGGCCACATGGAGGGGTGAGGCCCAGCAGTCCTGGAGCCTTTGGGGGACACAGAAGTCATATGATAAGCAGTCCCTGGGGTGGAGGAATGGCAGGGCAGCCCCCAGGCAACAGTGGGAGGGCAACGGTGTGCAGCGAAGGTGCCCAGGACCTGCAAGTGCAGAACAGGCAGCGGTCACCGCCGCAGTGACGTGGAGATGATGTCAGGTGAGGCAGAAGCAGGCATGGATTTGCACACCCAGGGACAACAGCCGAGGCCTGGGGCCAGCAGTGCGGAGGAGGCACAGACTGGATGTGCCCTTTAGAATGCTCCTTCAGGGGTTCCTAGGCTGCAGCAGGAGACAGGGATCCTAAGTCCTACCGGGCATCTGCTGGGTGCCGAGCAGTGTGGGTGTGCTTAGCCCTGCGTGTGACAACACTGTGTTCACTGAGTGGCCTGAGCCCACCCAGGAAAGCAGCTGGTATCGTCCCTACTTGCCCCAGCTTCCAGTGGCTGCTAGGACCAAGTACCCCAGACAGTGGCTTAAGCAACACACATTTTTTCCTTTTACAATCCTACAAGTCAGAAGAGTTTGGAATGCAGCCACCGGGGTGGCTCCAGCCGGAGGCTCTGGGCAGAACCTATTTCCTTGCCCGTCTGACCTGTCCCTAGGTACCCACATTCCTTGTCCACAGCTCCCACCTCCATTGTCAGAGGCCGCTGCACCTTCTCTCTGAACCCTGCTTCTGGATTCTGACCCTCCTGCTTCCCTCCGTTAGGCCCCACCTAAGCAAGCCCTGGCCCTGGGAATAAGGTTGCTCAGGAGGATGTGGGAGCCATGGAGGCCAGGTCAGTCCAGTCACCAGCGAAGCCTCTGTGTTTCCGCACAGAGCTGGGCAGCCCTTCGGGAGTCACAGGAGCCAAGCTGCACCCCCTTCCTCACAAGACACAGTCCCACAGGCAGCACAAGGTGTCTCCTGGGCCATCTCTTTTCTGGGGGATGGGCTGAGGAGTCTCTGTAAACTCTCCTGGGGAGTTCACGTAGTGAGCAAACCCTCCTCCTGCTCACCTGGCAGGGGAGCATGGTGCTAGGCTCAAGGCAGGTTTGCAGAAGAGAGGTGAAATCACCCAGAGGGCGCTGCGGAGGCAGTGGGGTGATGGAAGAGTTGACTGGGGAGTGACTGGGGCCATTTGTGGAGGCTCCAAATGCCTGGATAAACCTACAGGAAACAGGGCTTGCACAGAGTTCTGAGCAGGAAAGTGATGCAATGGTAGATAATTTAAAAAAAAAATTAACATTAAGCAATTTACGACAACTAATCTGTTGATAGGATGTTGGTGGATTTATATTATCTGAGATGCAAAAGACAAATGGAGGAGAAGCAGCCCCTGAGAGATGGCAGGGACATGGACTCGGGCTCTGGTGGTGGACACAGGGACTTGGGGATCATCGGGAAGCATGTGCCACCACCCTTTGCTTCTGCTAGCACATCATGCATGTGGAAAAGGTGATGGGCATACATGGACACTATTACAGAGGAGAACACTGTAGAAGTAGAAGAAATGGAAGAAGAGGAAGAAGAGTATGTGGGGGAAATGTTAGGTAACTTTCCCATTTAGCACACACCTGCGGTGTGATCGGCACATGCTACCCTCTACCTATATTGCTGTTCCTTCTTCAAACTCCTGGAGGTGGCTCTCACTGTGCCCATTTTATGTCAGGGACACCAAGACTGGGGGAGACCAAACGACTTGCCACATAGCAGAGCCCATCTGTCTATACCAGACTAGGTTGCTGCATCCTTACATTAAAAAATAAGGGAAAGCCTTCATCCTTAATGGTTTTCAAATACCCTCAAACTGCTCCACTTCACCCTGCCCCATCGGCTTACTCATGAAGGTCCTAAAACAGATGGTGCTGGGATTCCTCCAGCAGTGTCCTGAGATCCTGTGACTGTCTCTTTGTAGCTGTGTCCTTACCAGGAATAGGAACCATGTTCTTCCGTGTAGCGGAACTGTATTAATGAGCTCTTTTGTAGGCTGAGAACAGCTACATCGTAGCATGTCATGTGGTTCAGTTCATACATACGGCATGGAAAGTTCTGAGTATATGGAAACTGTCACTGAACTCAGACTCTTCAAATTAAAAGGCATCTGTCCATGTCCTGTCGAAAATGGACTCTCGTCAGAATTGCCGAAGTGGTTAGGGCCAACAGGGCCTCTCTGTGCATCCACCTGCTGCTGCAGGGAGGGGAGGCTGGTGAGCCCAGAGCTCTGCAGACCTCAGGGCCTGAAGGATGACAGGCCTTAGTTTAGCAAGGCTCCAAGTTTTATGGGGTAAAGATGAGCTGGCCATATTCATTTCAAAAAGGAAATGGCTCAGCATGGGCGTGGTATGGAGGGCCTCTGGCCACTAAACTCCCTTTTACCCATGCTGACATGCTTTTGACAACACTAAGATGTGTACCAAAGGATAAACCCACATGACTTACACTGTGTGCATTTATCTGCGGTTGCATTAATTTAGATTTCACTAATTGGAAGACAGTGATCATAGCTCCCTTTTGCCATAGGAGGCCACATGCACCATGGAAGGTAATGGCTTCATAACCATTGCATTGATAAAAACATGGTTTACTCTCTTCAGCAGTAAGTTTAAAAAGTGACATTAGCACATTTTCATAGGAAGAGGTGTTAATTATTTGAAGTCTTACCCATTAAATAACGATCTCACCCAACCACAGTGTGTCAGTTCTAATTCATTCAATCAGGTGCCAGCCAGAGTCCAGCACTCGGGCCTGGGACTAGGGAACAGGGACAGGTGAGGAGCACTTGGCCCATTCCTACCTGGACGCTCCCGTCTGGTAGGAACACTGGGTCACAGGAGGCACAGTGACAAATTCTGTTTGGCTATAGTAGGAAAGTTTTCCTAGAAGAGCAGGCAAGGGGCTGGGGATTTAGCTCAGTGGTTCTGGTGCCTGCCTCACAATGTGCCCAAGGGCCCAAGTTCAATGCCCCGTACCAAAAAAAAAAAAAAAAAAAAAAAACCAAAAAAAAAAAAAAAAACCAAAAAAAAAAAAAAAAACCAAAAAAAAAAAAAAAAACCAAAAAAAAAAAAAAAAACCAAAAAAAAAAAAAAAAACCAAAAAAAAAAAAAAAAACCAAAAAAAAAAAAAAAAACCAAAAAAAAAAAAAAAAACCAAAAAAAAAAAAAAAAACCAAAAAAAAAAAAAAAAACCAAAAAAAAAAAAAAAAACCAAAAAAAAAAAAAAAAACCAAAAAAAAAAAAAAAAACCAAAAAAAAAAAAAAAAACCAAAAAAAAAAAAAAAAACCAAAAAAAAAAAAAAAAACCAAAAAAAAAAAAAAAAACCAAAAAAAAAAAAAAAAACCAAAAAAAAAAAAAAAAACCAAAAAAAAAAAAAAAAACCAAAAAAAAAAAAAAAAACCAAAAAAAAAAAAAAAAACCAAAAAAAAAAAAAAAAACCAAAAAAAAAAAAAAAAACCAAAAAAAAAAAAAAAAACCAAAAAAAAAAAAAAAAACCAAAAAAAAAAAAAAAAACCAAAAAAAAAAAAAAAAACCAAAAAAAAAAAAAAAAACCAAAAAAAAAAAAAAAAACCAAAAAAAAAAAAAAAAACCAAAAAAAAAAAAAAAAACCAAAAAAAAAAAAAAAAACCAAAAAAAAAAAAAAAAACCAAAAAAAAAAAAAAAAACAAAAAAAAAAAAAAAAAAAGAAGACCAGGCAGGATCCCAGGTGTTGGTGAGAAGTCACTGAAGGGGCACCCAGAGACAGTCTTAGGGCAGGACTCTGGGTAGGGCAAAGAGCTGGGCATAGAGCATTGCAGGGGGCAGGAGATAGAAAACCAGGCTGTTCAGTGGGCATGTCGGTGAAAACTTCATAAATTAAGAAATGGGCAGTAGTCAGATCAGGGATGGGCCTGAGGGACCAACCAGGAGCCCTTGAGAAAGGATTAGAAAGGGGTTCTAGATTGGTTTGATTTTTAGAGCATACTGTGACCCCAAAGGAGGAGGGCCAGATGCGCAAGAGAAAAGGCCAGGACAGACAGCAGGAGATGAGGCGGATGCCGACGGAGGAGGCCTGGGGGAGAGCCGAGCACCTGTGCACGGAGGGGTCCCCAGGCTGGCGGCCCACTGGACAGTGGGGTGAGGGAGGAGCACAGAATGGGGCTGGATTCCTGCCTGTCCACATTAGGTGGTAAAGTAGGAAGCCCAGAGGGGCAGTGTCTAAGGGGGCTCCTGGGACTTGGAGGGTTGATTTCTGACCTTGAAAGTCACCTGGAAGTGAACTGAGGTCACGCCAGGAGGGGTGAGGTTTATAAGGAAAGAAGGTTAAGGAAGACCCTGGGAACATTAAGATGTGAAGAGGAGACAGAGGAAAGGAGCAGGACCAGTCAGAGAGGCAGGACAGGAGGGTCCACAGGAGCAGCATGCGGGGCCAGCCGACCACGGCGGCAGCACACACAGCATCTCCACAATCGCTGGCCTTGCTGGGTGGTTATGGGCAAGGCAGCCGGGAGCAGGACGCCCAGGCCTGAGGAGGAAATGAGTGGGCTTCCATGGTATGGGTGAGGCCACTCCTCCTTGCTCATGTGCTAGGGATGAGCTGCAAGGGAGGGGAGAGAAAGCAGACGCAGCCAGACGGGACAAGAGAATGTCCAGGTGTGCAGGAGATGAGAAGGCAGCAGGGAGGGGATCCAATGAGGAGCTTCCCAGGCCAGTCTGTACCTCAGAGCTCTCCGACCAAGCTTCTTGAAACTGCAGTTTCTAGGACCCCTCCAGGCCCTGCAGGCACAGGGATGGCAGTGGGTGTGCTTGTGATGAACAATGAAACAGGAGCTGGGATGAATAGTGGGGGAGCATGTGCTTAGCATGTGCAAGGCCGGGCACCGAAACATACATACGTGCACATTACACACATATGTGCACACATAAACACAGAAAACAGATGCTTCCCCACCTGATACCATTAGACAGCCAGGCCTGAGCACCCCACCCTGACCAGTAGAGACGGAACCGTGCAGATACAGACTCAGGAAGCTCCACCTGTGCCTAACAGGCTGATCCGAGGCTCTGAACTGCCCCACTGCCAGCTCCCCGGAGAGAGACACACAGCAGCTCAGCAATGGGTCTGCCACACTGCTTCCGGAGGGGCCGTGGCACCACACCAAGTGGCTGGAGAAGGACAGTAATAAACTGCACTGTCAGCCACAGTTAGTGCTTTGCACTTTCACCACGACCCTAAGGAAACCGGCAGTGGAGAGGCCTAAGGACAGGACTCCTGTGGAGTGTCTCCGCAATGTCACGGCGCTGCCAGGCTTTGCAACCCTGCCCCTCTGAAGCTTCCCCAAGGAGTGTGGGCTTGGCCGGGGCCACAGCCCAGGGTGGCAGGCAGGGTCCCTTCCCCTTCCCTCCTGGAGTCCCCAGCAGAGCTCCTGGAGCACGGCTCCACTCACCTGCCCGGCTCTGTCAGGCCCCGAAAGCGGAGCAGCCCAAAGTGGGAGGGAGCAGCCCGGGGACAGGGGTGGCAGTGCTCTCCAGGCTGAAGCCCAGGGCTGGAAACACCCTACACATTCTCCTGGGGGTGGGCTGCTTGCATGACCCATGCGGGAGCTGGAGAAGGTGTGGAGTTCATTTCAAGGGCTCCAGCTCCAGACTCAGCAGCAGGGCAGCAAAGCCGTCTTCTGACGC